CCACGCCCACTTATGGTTACATGTGTATATCTTGGTAACCGCCGTACCACCCTGAAGGAAAGATTGGTCTAATTGCTCGAAAAATATAGTCGTAGGTATAGTAGTTTTGTAACTAGACCAAAGATAGTCCAAAAATTTAAAGCAATGTAATGTAAAACATGTGTACTAAAAGTGGTCCGAATGTAATGCATAAGGTACGAGTTTTGTTCTAAAATTGGTTACAATGTCATGCAGTAGCGGACGATGGTTATAATTAACGATTATATGATATGTAGGTACTTAGTCAAAGAATTTTCATGTGCGACGTTGGCATGTAGAGAGAGTATTCGCTTAAAAAATCTGAAAACCCCGGTTCGAATCGCAGCTGGCGCAAGTTTTTTTGTTTTTTTTCCCCCAAAATGGGTTACAATGTAATGCAGAAGCGGACAATTGGTCCGAGCCTAGGACATTCAATGTTAAATGTAAATAGAATTTTACATGTTCTTGGACCAAACTTTGGATTAGTTACAATCACTTGCAGTCTAGTTTGTGGTGTGCTCTAAGTCTATTCCGAGGTCCTACAGGGCTGTTTTTTCCAAACTTGGCACGGTTGTTGGCCCTACGCCCATTTTCCAAAAATTTACAATATTTTTATTTTTCGTCTAAAGTTTATTTTTAATATAAATTTTAAGTGAATAATCTTCAGTAGTTACTAAAATATCGCAGTTTTTGTATTTCTGAAAGTTACCGTTATATGGGAAGTGGGCGTGGTTACGGTCCGATTTCGCCCATTTTCAATACCAACCTACACCACGCCACGTTGTTGGCAATAGTGTTTATACAAATATCGCTGGTGAAAATCTAAAGTTCGAACATTATGTAAGGCCCCTCTCTAAGCCAAAAGTCTTAGCCCATGTGCAGAATTACAAATTATATATTTAGTATACACATATGTATATATATGATTTTAAAAGATTCCCCTTTTTACAAGTTTTTATTTACTTTCACCTGTTCCGGTGTCTACAATCAAATATAATATTGAGTATTGATTTTTGTAAAGGTCGAGCTTTTGTTATGCAATTATCTGTTTATGCTTCTCAACGATAAAAGAAAAATACAAGTTTCACAATTTTTCGAAGTTCGAACATTTTTGAAATTGTTTAGATTTTAATTGTTTGGTCGAAGNAATACAAGTTTCACAATTTTTCGAAGTTCGAACATTTTTGAAATTGTTTAAATTTTAATTGTTTGGTCGAACTCCTCCTAAACGGCTTGACCGATCTTTATGAAATTTTTTGTGCATATATGGTAGGTATGGAATCGGATGTAAAGTATATTTCATACCGCTAGGTGCAGGGGCCTTGGCACCTCCCATACAAACCGAATTTTTCACACTTCTCTGGAAGTGTTCGTGGTAGAGTACTGAAAATAGGTACGGAGGTATATCAAATCAATCAAAGAGCCACGAAGAAAAGTTGTGGCTATTGGAAAAATGGGCGTGGCAAATCCCATGCATATACACTTTGTATGCATATACACTTATGCTAGGTTATTGAAGATGGCAATGGAAATCTGCCTTCTGAAAACCACCAAACCGTAATATTAGAAGATAAATGCGTCAATGAAAATCATGAACGTGAACTGTTGGTGAAAATATTAGACCAAAATGTTTCAATACAAAAAATTAATTTTGGGCGGGACGAAGTTCGCCGGGTCTGCTAGTTTTAATATAAAAACAAAATCAAAAAAATACCAAAAAATTAAAAAAAGTGAAGTCTAAATTCGTAGTGTAGCCTCCTCCTGTTGGACTTCTGAAACTATATTTTATGAAGGCTCAAAACAAACGTATTTTTTGTGCCGGCCATATCCGATTTGCCATTTCGAATTTTTGAAATCTAACTTCAAATTCGTAATCAGTGACCCCCAAAACCCCCTATAAGATAAGATTTCGAATATTGGCCCTTTTTATCGTTTGCTGGCCCATATTGCATTGCCTAAATTTTCGACACGAATAGTGCATTAAAACGGAAGAACTTGGCAGCGCTGCATAGTTTTCGACGATTTTCGTTGTTTACTTATTACAGCACGACAGTAGACAATGCCAATGTTGTCGAGTCGTACAATTGAGCCTAATATACGACTTACGCAATGAGGCTGAATATTCCTATTTTTCGCCTAAAAGTCATTGCAAATATCAACTTTGAGTGAATAGTCTTCAGTAGTTATTGAAGTATCGCAGTTTTCGTATTTCTAAAAACTACCGTTATATGGGAGTTAGGCGTGGTTANCACGACAGTAGACAATGCCAATGTTGTCGAGTCGTACAATTGAGCCTAATTTACGACTTACGAAATGAGGCTGAATATTCCTATTTTTCGCCTAAAAGTCATTGCAAATATCAACTTTGAGTGAATAGTCTTCAGTAGTTATTGAAATATCGCAGTTTTCGTATTTCTAAAAACTACCGTTATATGGGAGTTAGGCGTGGTTGTTGTCCATTTTCAATACCATCCGTCCTACGCTCAAAAGAAGTACACATACCAAGTTTCGTTAAGATATCTCAATTTTTACTCGAGTTATCGTGCGGCAGACAGTCACCGCTCCATCGCTTTCTTTTTTTCTTTTTGAGCATTTATGTATACATTTGTCTATATCTATCTTGATTCGTTTTTGNCATACCAAGTTTCGTTAAGATATCTCAATTTTTACTCGAGTTATCGTGCGGCAGACAGTCACCGCTCCATCGCTTTCTTTTTTTCTTTTTGAGCATTTATGTATACATTTGTCTATATCTATCTTGATTCGTTTTTGGCTGTTGAAAACAACCATTATGTAAACAAAGTTATAATACCCTTGCAAGTGCGCTCGGGTATAAAAAAATCAAATCAGCTGCTCTACTGATACTACCTGTTTAATGTGCCTTGGCGATTTCGTTTCTTCCAAAAAATGTTGACCTTCCACGGTGTAAAACTTGTTTATGTTACACTCAACCCTCTAAAAGGGCGTGTTTTTGCCTCTTGTCCTTGTCCAGCTCAAGTACTTCATAACATAANAAAGGGCGTGTTTTTGCCTCTTGTCCTTGTCCAGCTCAAGTACTTCATAATATTGTTGTTTTAAGCAACCATCTGAATTTTGGGCAACCTTCTCTCCAGGCGAAACATTTTAAGGTACGAATACTAAATTTTAGCACCGTTTGCCTTTATTTTAGAACCGAAAACGAAAAGAGAAAGGGGCAATCAAAAGGCGACCGTTTTTGGTATAAACGAAGACACCATTACGAACACGTGCGCAAGCAAGATCGTTAACTCGTTAATGTTCGCCGTTAAGCGTTAATAAATTAAATTAAATTATGAAAGAGCACATACGTTTTCTTACCTATAATCAATTTAAACCGTTGATGGGCGCCTTCTTGCCCGCGAGCAAAGCTCTTTCAAGCCTTTTATACATTTTGAATAGGCGTGTGCAGAGTAAAAGCTCTATCTGCCCGTCGCTAATTTAAACTTTGATTTATTAATACAAAAAATAATAATTGGGTGGCTTTTTATGATTTAGAACTATATTTATTAAATAGACTTTAAGTCTAGTTAAGACATTTTTTCTCTACAAACAAAAAACGGAATACATAGCCTACGCAGAAAGGAGTTAGTGCAAAAATACTGTGGACACCGGAGGTTGAGTTATATGCATAAGAAATGTTATACACTTTTGACAAAAGAAGGGGGGCCTTCTTCTCAGAGGAGAATTCTACGTCCCAGTAGATAATTTAGGAGTTAAAAGCCCTTCCAAAAGGCCTTCCTGAGAGTCAAGAGGCCTTCCTCTCTATATTCCTTTCTCCTTTCTTTTTTGTATGGAGTGGCAAAAATTGAAGGGCTTTTTCTTTCGCTACTTCTGGAAGGCCTTCCAGAAGGGCTTTTATAGGACGTACTTCAGAAAGCCTTTTGGAGGAGTTCTTCTAAAGTTGCTTCTTTAGTTTATAAAAATCATACAGCTTTGAAGTATTTGCTTAAGGTTTACATCAAATATGTGCTATTGCAACTTAAAATATTTGTTTAAATTAATTTCTAATTTTAAATAATATAAATTTATGCATTCGCGTAAATTGTAAATGGATAATCCCTTCTAGAAGGCATGAAAGGAAGTACTTTTTTCAGCCCTTCTTGGGTAGGCCTCTTAGAATGGCTTTACTTAAGAAGGCCTATCTAAATTATCTTCTGGGGTAGTAAGGGTTATAATCCCTAAGCGCGGGCGAATCACGCCTACCCAGAAAGGAATTCTACGCAAAAATACTGTGGACGCAAGTGAAAATTTTGGGCCGAGGCGGTCAGGGGTTTGCTTTTTTGTCAATGGCGGTTGATGTCATGTCCAAAAAGCTGTTTTGGAGGTGCCACGCCCACCCCACCTTCGCCAACCGCCGCTTCAACGACAGCCCTTATAGAAAAGTTTCCGAACTATACTTGCTTCAAAAACCTCTATCGACGTCCATGGTCAAAATATGTTTCCCTGTTTATCGTAATCGCACGAAGCGTTTTCTCTAGTTTTCAAAATTTTTTTATTTCGGAAAAAATTGCACTTACATATTTATATACATATACTAGTGGTTAAAAAAAAATTTCTTTTGGAAATTCATAAACGCTACCTCAAATTATTGTTATTCGTGATAAAAAAAAGAAAAACGTGTTTTTTTATTTTGAAAAACAAGTTTTCTTAGAGGTCACGCTGGTCGGTTTTTTTATAAAAAAGCTGATGTTCTCAATTTTTTTAGTTTCTTGACATGTTAAAATGCAGCTAAAAATTTGTTTTTTACATATAATTACTCTGGTATTACTGGGGAACATTCCCTTAATTATATACCTGTCTTAGGCAGTTAGAATGGGCCTAGAAGAGACTAGTAAAATTAAAACGTTGATACTGAACGATTTACGCATTGTCATGGGTTGAAGCTTGTTACCAGGGGTTTCTGGAGTTGCTAATTAGGGCGGATCCAAAAAGGCGGTCCATTATTTTTAAAAATGATTAGATTTGTTCGAAACTCGACACTCGAGCGTTTTTGTGGTCGCCGATTACGAATCTGAAGTCAATTTTTTTTAATTCAAAATGGCGGATCCAATATGGCGATTAAATTAAAAAAAGTACTAAAATTAAAACGTTGATACTGAACGTTTTAAACATTGTCAAGGGTTAAAAAATGTTTCCAGTGGGTTTCTGGGGTTGCTGATTACGAATCTGATGTCAGATTTTCAAAATTCAAAATGGCGGTTAAGAGTTTCAAACAAATCCAATCATTTTTTTTTAAGTTGGGCGCCATTTTGGATCCCCCATTTTTAAGATCAGATCCCTAACTAGCAACCCCAAAAACACCCTGGTAACAAGTTCCAACCCATGACAATGCGTAAATCGTTCAGTACCAACGTTTTAATTTAATAAGTGTTNAACTGCCTAAGACAGGTATATAATTAAGGGAATGTTCCCCAGTAATACCAAAGTAATTATATGTAAAAATNTACCAACGTTTTAATTTAATAAGTGTTTTTTCCAGAGCATATTTTCGGGAACTAGACCCATTCTAATTGTCCAAGACAGGTGTGTAATTAAGGGAAAGTTCCCCAATAATACCAAAGTAATTATATGTAAAAACCCCATTTTTAGCAGCATTTTAACATGTCAAGAAAATAAAAAAATTGAGAACAATCAGCGTTTTTATAAAAAACCAACCAGCGCGACCTCTAAGAATTTTTTTTTTTTTTTTTATAAAAAATGCATGTCTTTTTTTATACAAAAACAATATTCTGATGTAACGTTTGTGAATTTCCACAAAGAGCGTTTTTATGAACCTCACCAAATTATACCTATGATAATTTTGTGCAAAGGGATCGACATGTAAATTAAATTTGCTACATTCATGATAAGAATATTAAAAAAATTAAAATAAAATTAAATTAAAAAAATATTTGTATAATGGCTACATTTCTGTATCTGGTCTGATTACTTACCGAAAAAGGGCCGGCACTTTGACACTCAGGACAGGAGCCAGGTTTAACTTCTGTATTCTGTGACTGTACAAAGGGCCCCAAAACGTAGCCACACTTCACACAATCGTATTTGATGACTGAAAGTTGAGGTAACACACCCGTTGTAGCTGTTACCACGCCCAAAGTACGCACCAGCTGGTTCAGATGGAGTTTCCGGAAAGTCCGTAACTCTTCTATAAGAGGCAATTCTGATATACGAACATGAATTTCTGTTGTAACACGTTCATATGTTGGAAATATTGATAAGACCATGTCTTTAGCCACCTTGTCGAAGATTTCTAGCATTTGAAAAGGTGCTTCAGGTAGGAAGTACGCAAGTACATGCTCTTTATTTGCCAAATCCGTGTAGGATACAACAAATGAAGATTTATTCTGTTCGCACATGCGTCGAATACGGTCCCGGTATGTGTACATACCACGTTCATCAACAAAGGTGCAGCATTGAAAATCGGCCAAATACTAAGTATACAGGATTCTAAGGTGGTGTCACCGCAGCTGGCTAAAGCTTTTGAACGTGTACGCCAGGCGGCCGACTATATGCCCGATTGGCAAGTAGAGCGCGTAATGATCACACAATTGGGCGCCGATTGGCGTAATCTTTTGGAAAGTTTCGATGAGAAACCATTTGCGGCGGCTTCCATTGGGCAGGTACATCGCGCTACATTGAAAGATGGCATGCAAGTGGCTATAAAAATTCAATATCCTGGCGTTGCGCAAAGCATCGAAAGTGATATTGATAATTTAGTAGGCATGCTCAAAGTATGGGATGTCTTTCCGCACGGCTTCTTTATTGACAATGTGGTCAAGGTGGCCAAACGTGAACTAAATTGGGAAGTAGATTATACACGTGAAGCTGAATATACAGATAAATTTAAGCAGATGATTGCACCTTATCACGAGTACTATGTACCGAAGGTCATTAAAGAATTGACCACAAGCAGCGTACTGACTACAGAATTAGTGCCAGGTGTACCATTGGACAAGTGCTTCGATTTAAGCTATGAGCATCGCCATCACATTGCTTCGTCTATACTCAAGTTGTGCTTGCGTGAGCTGTTCGAGTTGGAATGCATGCAAACCGATCCGAATTGGTCGAATTTCCTTTATGATGTTGATACGAAGAGACTAATGTTAATTGATTTTGGTTTAACGCGTTTTTATCAAAAGCAATTCATACGTAATTATCGGCAGGTAATAAGCACGCTGCAGAGAATAATCGTGAAGGTGTCTTGCGCATGTCACGCGAAATGGGTTTTCTCACAGGTTATGAAACCAAGCAAATGGAAGAGGCGCATGTGGATGCTGTTATGATACTTGGCGAAATATTTCGCTTTGATGGTGATTTTGATTTCGGCCGGCAGAACACCACCGAACGCATTGCACATTTAGTACCCACAATGGTCGCACATCGCCTTTGTCCACCGCCAGAGGAAATCTATTCCATACATCGCAAATTATCTGGTATATTTTTGCTGTGCTCACGCCTAAATGTACGACTTAATTGTCGGCCGTACTATGATGAAATTGTTATTCAGAAGTTCAAGGAGTAATATTGGAAAGGCACAAACTGTTAGGTATATATACAGGAAGAAATGTTTACTTTAAATGAAAAAATAATTAATGCCTTATATTAAATATAGATATATACGTTGCCTTTATAATACGATCGCCTTGCTGTTTTTTTTAATCATTTCAAAGGTGCGCAAAAAAGACTGAAAGCGATTGGCGATTGTCGTGGTCCAAGCATACTAACCCATTCTTTTGTAGAATGGCCCTTAGATCGCTCTATGTACATTGGTCTTTCTCACCTCAGCAGCTTCTCAAGTAACGTCGATTAAGTCCCTCGATGTTGGTGTTATTTGCCGAAAAATAACACCAGCAGAAACTATGCCCAGCAACATCCTGTAATTAAGAAAAAATTACATTCAAACATAGCTATATAATACGATATTTTACGCATACTCACCTAACCTTAAGATTACAC